CAGCCCCGCACCCACCTGCAGCCCCGCATCCTCCGCGCTTCGGGAGAAGGTTGACGGGGGGGAAGGGGGGGGCGGACGCGTTGCGCAGGCGCGGAACGGGTTGATGGGGGGGTGAGGGGTGACGTCACCTGGAGAGCTCACGCCTCCCCCCCCCCCCCTTCGCCCCCTTATCCCCGGGGAAGGGCAAAGGAAGGGGGGGCGCGGGGGCCCGCACCATCATTCGCATCTTGCCTTCTTCATACTTGTCCTCTTCACCATCAGTATCATCAGTATCACTTTCATCTTCACCCTCCTCCTCCTCCTTGTCCTCCAGATCATTCTACTTTTCACCTTCTTTTCCTCCTCCCCACCCTCATCCTCACCCTCCTCATCCTCCTCACAACCTTTCTTTGAATCATGCACCCCCCACAATACACCATTCTCCCCTCCCTTTAATATATGCATATTTATTTATTCATGCGTTCTTGCAAGCATACAAATATATCGCATCCATTACAAAAAGCAGACTATGTGTGTGTATATATATAAATGAGATAAAGTTGAAATAAGATCTTTAAAAATATATATATTAACTATGCAAAAATCCCTTTTCCCTCTTACTTCAGTGCTTTTTTTTCCTTTTTTTGTAAGGAGCCATACATCCATCACTGTTCTTGAGTCATCACCCCGAGTGAACAGCAGACCCAGTACCCCCAGTTGGAGGTTATGCTGTGCCATGGCTGTCGGTGTGATGCACTGCAGGGATGCACAGGGCAGCACTGCTCCTGCATCCCAGGATACGCAGTTCTCAGACCCAGCGATGCTATAGGATTTGCTGGAACTCTGCTGGAAATTTCCAGCTTCCCTAATGTCATTCCTTTGTTTTTGCAAGCTAGCATAGAGGTCTTGTTGCATTGCTGTGTTTTTAACAAATGGGCTCAAAACACTGTGAAACTGAAGGATTTCTTATAGGGTAGAAAATTCTGTTGGGAAGGCTTTGAGGCTGCGTATGTGAGATAACACATCATGGTTTCACTGCTGCTTGGCCACACAGCACACTGCATCTGGGGGAAGGAAAGCAGCATTTTGCAGTCCAGCAGCTCTGGAAAAGCTTTCTGCTTTGAGAAAACCGCTGAGCTGTACAAAGGGTTCCCATGGTCCCACCCCATCTCACAGTTACAGCATTGTGACAATGCAAGGATTTAAAGGTCCTTCTCTATTGTATTGTGTTGTATTGTGTTGTATTGTGTTGTATTGTGTTCTATTCTGTTCTATTCTATTCTATTCTACTCTATTCTACTCTATTCTACTCTATTCTACTCTATGCTGTCCTATCCTACTCACTCCATTCCACTCCACTCCACTCCACTTCATCACATCCATTCTATTCCATTCCACATTCCATTCCATATTCCATTCCATTCCATGTTCCATGCCATTCTATTCTATTTTTATAAAGTTAACTCCACCCATGACACCCTGCAGTGCTCAGACACTTCCAGCTCCAGCATCTTTGCCCATGGCAGTGTTGGGACTGAATTTCTCCCCATAACTTGTGTCCTTTTTTAATTCCAGTCACAGCAGCTACTGCACTGCTGGTGACAGTGACACAGTTTTAATGCAAAACTGTTTTTATGAAAGAAGTCATTTACTGCTGAGAACACATTCCCTCCTCTATGCTTTTACCAGCTCACAAAGCCCTCTTTTGAGCATTTGGATTCTCCATATCTCCAGCAGTGCTTCCTCCCAGCAATATCTGCAGGCAAAGCAACACACTTCAGCTTGTCACCACACAGCTTTGCATTTGCTCTGAGCAGAAAACCAAGGCAATATTTGGTGTGACTGATAACATTGCGTGGCCCCACATCTGTGTCAACTCCAAGCTGACTCTAAGCAAGTAAACTGAAGATTAAAAAATGCTATCAGTGTAACTCTGAGTGACATCATGGCAGGTGTGAATTCATGCAGATGGCTATTTTGTCACTTGAAATAAGGGTTCCATTTCCCAGCTCAGCTAAGACCATGTCCGTGAGTGATGAAAACTCATTTCTTAAAGTGAGGCCTTTTTTTGCTAGAGTATGCTGATCGTAAAAGATAAAAAAAAAAAAAAGAGAGAGCGCTATACTGTCAATGCTGTATTGACAGCTACAATGGCTGCAACCGCTGCTGGAGAACTGCAGCATGGGGCGGGATTACAGGAATCTATTGCATCCCATTGGGTATGGCCGGCAGTGCTGCAACGGCCCCGCCGCGGGCAGCAGCCGCGTGCCCCGCAGCCCCTTTGCAACGCTCGGCGTGGAACGTGCGCGCGGTGGAGGAGGCGGTGGCCGCGTGGAACCGCCCCGGGGCGGAACTGCAGAACCGCGTGGAGGGAGGTTAGGGTTAGGGAGGGGAGAGCGTTGCACGCGATGTCCTCGAGCAGCGAGGGGAGCGTTTAGAACCAAAATGGGTTCTTGGCCCCTCGTGCGGTTTAAGGGAGTTTCTGCACGCAGCTCCTGTCGTTCTTTGCCTGGAGTCACAATCTCCAGTTTTGCTCTTTCTGTGTTCTGTCTGTGCACGTGGGCGCTCCTTGCACCGCGCGCAGCAGAGCACGAGGCTTGGTCCGTGAAGGACCCGCGGTGTTCAGGTGTCCCATCTCGGCCAGGTGCTGCATCGCTCTCCTCAGCAACGCCTCCAGCTGCCGTCAGACCTTCAGCTGCCGGGACCGGAGAGCGGCTCCGGCAGTGCCCGGCAGAATTGCGGGCGTTCTCGCAGCCTTTTGCTAATCTTTGTGCTAAGGAGAAACGTTCTTAGTCAAGAATTCGGAGTTGGAAAATGCAGAACGGTCTATGGGGTGAGGCACTTTATATTAACCTCTATTTTAGACACACTACCTCGTTTAAGGGAATGATTTCAGACACGGGAGTGCTCTCCAGCCTTCGCCATCTGCTTCTGCACACCTGTGGTTTCACTCCCTACCAGCCCTGTTCCTCACTGGAGTTCTGCGGACTAATAAAGTAAATCCGGGGCGTCAGAATTCCTTTTGTGATGGATAAGTGTGCCTTTATGTGTTAAACAGCTGCTTTGTTTCTTGTTAGAGTTAAGAAACAAACGAGTGCTTCTATAAATGCTAAGTTTACAGATGCTAACCTCCCTGTAAGGGTTTGTGAGCCAGCTTGAGAAAAACTGAGGAAGAGTGACTGGGACGTTGCAAGGATGTTCTGTTGGGCTCTGGTGTGGTTGCAGCATTGTCCCATCGGGGCAGTGGTTCCTGCTACCTTGGGTTATCTGGCCACCCGTGGATGCTTACTGTGAGCTGTCAGTTTTATCCTGGTGCCTTATAGGCTCCTGTTGTTTTTTACCCCAGCTATTAGTGTCTGTTTTCATTTTTCTTTTTTCCCTTTTTTTTTTTTTTTTTTTTTCCCTCCAGAAAACTATAAAAGAATTGAAATAGAAATAATTCAGTGATGTTTTAAAACAACAACAACAAAAACAGTTCAATGGACTTTGTATTCAATTGCTTTCAATTTGGTTTTTTTCTTGTGAGGGACAGTAGGATTGGAGAGGAGGCCTTTTGCTGCCAGGAGCTTTAGCAGAATGCAGTCTGGACCTATAAGAATAAGTTCATTCACTGCTCCTGGAGTTGCTCCATTGTGTTCAGACCATTTGCTCTTTGGGCTCAATTGTTTTTCAGTAGATTCATAAGCTTCATTTGCAAACCTTGTTCTAACTCTGAGTACATCTCCTAGGCTCTTATCTTCAAATTCCTATGGTGCTTCCTGGCATTCCTGAGCTGTTTGTGATCTCTATGAGTGAGTATTAGAATCTGTCTGCTCTTAATGTTTTGGAGCAATGTGAGTAGCGTATTCAGTTATTACCAAAGGAAGTGTACCATGATCTAGTATATAAATGTGCCTGAGTAAACTGAGTTCCTTTACAGCAAAACTTCAAGATACACATTTGCAAGATAACTTAATTAAATACTGGGAATATGCAGTAAGCTGGGTTTTTATTTTTGACTTTCAAACTATCATGTTTCGCCACACTTCTGTTGACAACAGTCTGATTTAAAGAATGTCAGCAGGGACTTTTTGCAGTCTTAGACTGATGATGGTACAGCAGCAAAAATCTCTTTCTTCCTGACACTTGTTTGAGTGGAATTTACACTGGTAGAAGCCAAGTCTATTCTAGAGTTTTGCGCTAGTATAGCTTAGGAAGATCTTAAATGCAAAGCCAGAGGCTTTTGATGTCTTAGCGATGAGAATCTCTCACCTTAAACCTTAGGGCTGTGTGCAGGAAGCGTGGACTACACGTGTGCTGTCTGATGTTGGCCTTCATAGTATTCAGTACAGGGATGTTTTGCTCATCAACAACTGAGTTTACTTAGCCATAAGTCCAGCAGTGACCTTGTCCATAGAAACCAAAGACAGTTTCAGAGTCTATCAGTCATCCAGCACAGGGTGATAGCTTGTTAAAATCCGTTGCAATATTTCTCATGACAGGTGTAATGGTAGACCAAGTATTGATTGAAATGTTGTTCTCTGCATTACTTTTTCAATTTCCAAGGCATGTTTATTTCTGTTGTTCTGTATGCAGTTACATGGTAACTGTTGAGTCCTGGCCTGGCCCACTGATTGAGCACCTGGGGAAAAGATCCAGTCAACCCTGGGAGCACAGGAGAAGGCAATTCAGTGATGTGACCGGAAGGAGTGGAGCACAGCTGCCCCTCTCTTAGACCTCATTTAAGGGCTGACTGCCACTATGGAAGGATCTGTGGTTGGAGATTCCTCCCTTGAGGAGTTCTTCCTGTGAGCTGAGATCTTCAGAGACCGGTGAGCGCTTTTCCTTTTCTAATACCGTTCTATTCATGCTGGTTCCTTTGCTGTTATATTCCAGTGCTGCCCTTCCACTGTGTTAATCTTTCTGATTGTAAAAGTAGTGGGCCAGGATTTTTAAACAGGGTATTGGCCTGTCTTCCTTAACATGCTCTAATCCAAAGAGGGAGGTTTTGTCTTTTTGTACTTTGGCATTGTTGCATACCTTCATGTCCTGTCCTCTCTGGCTGGTTGTATCATTTGTCAAGCCAATTACTGTAAGGCTGACAAAACATCTGTAGTGGGTATCAAGTAA